CCTGGGAAGAAATCCACATTCCTGTGATAAAACATTGATATGAAGTGTTTAGGAAGCTTTTCATGGTGAACATTTGTGTTGTGTGAACTCTGCAGCTGCTAATGAAAAACATTTTCTCTGTGTATTTAGCAGGTGAAACTAGGTCAGTTGGCCCCAGACTTTCCAGAATTGGAAATATTCAGGAGCACTTGTGGGCAACCAGTAAATATGATGTGGGGAAAATGAACAAAGGTAGTGACACTTAAGTCTGATTTCAGACCATGTAAGCATCAGTTGTTAAATTAAAGCCAGAAGCAGTGACTGCAGCACTGCATGGCAGGTTCTAACCCCTACAGCCTGTTAGTTCACCTGAAGGCAAAACTTTTCCTGTTATTTTTCCGGTAGATTTTGGGTTTTGTTTTAGTACCAGGCTGATTCTGCCAGTTAGAAAAAGAAAAACAACCAAACCTAAGAGAAAGACTTTTTTTTTGTTTGTTTTTTTTTTTTAAACTTAAGACATGTCCGGGCCTAAAATCTTTTTTGTTTTTGTTTTTGTAACAGTGCACTTAGGGAAAAACCTGCCAGGTATCATCCCTCTGGGTGTGATATTTTGTGTGTGATGTTAAAAGCAGGCCTGCAAGATTGGGAGAAAAGCGCTATAAATACTTTAATTGAGAGCAAATATAAGGTGAGCTTCTCAAGATTACAATTGGCTTCTGAGAAAATTCACCTACATAGGATGCTGACCATATTAGATGGGAAATCTGTGTTTAAAAGGATTGTAGCGATTCAATTCATTTCAATGGCAAGAAGAATTGTTTTTGTTTTTGGAATGATGAAATATTGCTGTCAGTGGACATTTAAATTGTGCGCGGTTTTCCACTATCAGCAATGATCGTTATGAATGCATGTGACTAGATGAATACATGTGATTGGTATAAATGCAAATGCAAAGGACTGTGGCTGGACTGATGATGTGGACTAAATGTGACCGACTTGAAATTCAGAAGATGGTAACTATTCTAGGATTGGTCACTTTTAATGCCTAATCCACCCAAACAGTGAAAAAAAGGGTGGATGTGGGTGTTTTTGTTTGCTTGTTTTTGCAGAAGCAGAAGGATGACAGAGACAAGAGGAGGAGAGACTGTATGTTTACATGAGTGTGGGCAGACTAAACCCTTTAGCTGCTACTTTTCTGTTTTACTGATTTTGTGTGAAGAACACTGTTTTTACTGGCTGCTTGTTGGTTATAGTAACACTCTGTATTGTTGGAAAATGTCAAATGTTAGAAGTTGTCAGAAAACATAGCGGCCTTGAAGAGCGTGCAGAGAAGGCCAGCCACATCAGCAGCAGTTAAGCTATGCTCTGATGAACGGCTTTCACCCACCCACTGCTGACTTCATTAGGAAACAAAATTTTAATCAAAACACAGACGGGTCTGTTGAATGCATGAATTGGGCGCCATGTGCTACTCCGGAGGAGACGCCCTGATGTTGCATTGGCAATGATCTAACTAACCCTTTTCTTTAAGAAAGGAGCCTAGTTCTGATGAGTTGACTCATGGAGTGTCGATGAGTCAAGAGGAGGAATTCCAGGTTTAACATGAAACAATGTTTTCTGTGTTTTCCATGACGATTTTTTCCACGGCTTTTTACTGTGACTTGTGGGATTAACACGTTATGGACAGGTATGTTTGGATGAGGGTTTGAAAACCTATAAGTGAAGTTCACAAAACTGAAAGGAAAAATGTGGATTGATGTTGGTTGATATATTTTCCAAATGGTTAGAAGTTTTTCCTTCTAGTAGGGAGATACAGGTGCAGTGGCCAGAGTATTGCTGGAAGAAATCATCCCAAGGGTGGAATCTCCAGAGATTGAGACTGGGTGCTGATCAGAAGTCTTCAGAGACCCAGCGAGAAGTAAGAAACATTCATGGCAGAGCTGAAAGCCCAGGCAGTAGTTAAGGTCAAGGTCGTGCGGTTTGGGGCCCTACTATCATTATGAGAAGGTTCCAGAACCACAGCAATAACCATAAAGCTGCACTGGAACGAGAGGGTGAGGGGTGAAAAGAGTGCCCTCCTCCAAAAAGAGCATGCCAAGCTCCAACTCAGCGACTGCAGAGCAGACTCTGTGGCACCTAAGAGGGATCATGAATGCAGATGACACCTTATTAAACAATCAGGCAGTTGTGCCGGAAGTAGTTCCGTGTGGTTTTGTGTTAAGGGGGTCGTTGGTGTGACATTTCTAATCATCTTATAACTGATATGCATTTACATGACTGTGAACATCACAAACTCTGTTAGAGTCCTGAGCCTGAGCAGAAGTGACTGGAGTAGTTTTAGCATGCACGTTTTACAGCAACCTAATAATAATTATTTGTGTATATTTTGTAGACTGATTTCTAGCATGTCAGTTCCTGATGTGTAAGTGCATTAGGCCCTCACTGTCCGAGTAAAATAGTAACAACAGTTGTGAGTTCTTTTGACATGTGTACTCAGCTTTGACATGTTGTTTGACACCCTAAAGTAGGATTTTGGGTTCATCACATTTCAGTGAGGGATTTTGATAGGTCTCAAACATGCTGGAAGCACCTAAAGAATGAGGTTGTTTTTCTAGAGTTAAATGTGGTTGTTTTGGTTTCCCCAATCACTGATGTGAGGACAGTAAAGATAATTGCAAATGCCTTTGAGAGGGTTTACACTGTTTAAATGGGTCTACAGTAGTAAAGAGTACAGCACAATGCATAGAGTGTTCAGCTCCAGATTGTACTGGATGCACCAGAGTACCAGCCGCTCAACTTCCTGCCAGTATGCAGACTCATCACTATCCTGAATGAGGCCAATGACGGTGGTGTCGTCTGCAAACTTTAGGAGTTTAACAGCGAGGTGCAGTCGTTAGTGTAGAGGGAGAACAGTGGTGAGAGGACACATCCTTGAGGGGCACCAATACTGAGGGACCGGGTTTCAGAGGTGATCTCCCCCAGCCTCACTTGCTGCTTTCTGCCTGTCAGGTAGCTGGTGAAACGCTGAGCTGGGAGAGTTTGGAGGAGAGAAGTTCAGGCACAATGGTGTTAAAAGCCGAACTAAAGTCCACAAACAGGACCCTGGCATAAGTTCCCGGGCGGTCGTCGAGGTGTTGCAGAATGTAATGCAGCCCCATGTTCACTGCATCATCCACCGACCTGTTTGCCCGGTAGGCAAACTGCAGAGGGTCCAGCTGGTGGCCTGTAATGTCCTTCAGATGGGCTAACACCAGTCGTTCGCAGGATTTCATGACCACAGACGTCAAGGCGACGGGTCTGTAGTCATTCAGTCCTGTGATGGCGGGTTTCTTGGGAACAGGAATGATGTTTGAGCGTCTGTTGAAGATGCGAGTAAAGATGGGAACCAGCTGTTCAGCACAGGTTTTGAGGCAGGAGGGTGAGACACCATCTGGTCCGGGGGACTTTCCTGGGCTTCCGTTCTGAAATAGTCAGCTCACATCCTCAGTGTGTATTCTGAGTTTGAGGGAGGAGGAGGAAAGGGGGGTGAGAGGTGTGATGGAGGGTGTTGAGTCTGGATTGGAGAGGGCGGTGGTGGTCGTTGGTCTGGAGTGGGGAGGGTGGTGGTGGTCGTTGAGACTGGATTGGGGAGGGTGAGGGTGAAGGGGGGGAGAGGTGGAAGATGTGTTGGGGGTAAATGTCTGAAGCAATGTCTCTGGGGAAGGGAGGGTGAGGCGGGGAGTCTGTCCGTCTCAAACCTGCAGTAGAACACGTACCATGGTCACGCAGTCTATTCTTGAAAATATTTTGTGCATCTTCATTTTTATTTTCGGTTCCACATGTGGCAAAAGTTTTGTGTTGCCTTAACTTACACCTGTAAATTTAATAATCTATACTTCAAACGTGGGGATGGAGACTACTTTTTGTTTTTATTTGCTGACATAACCAACTCTGTCTAAAAATAAACCTCTGACATGTTTAAACATATGAAGAATGGGATGTAGTATCCTCTAACTACTTGGTTAAAATAGTGTTAGAGAAATAAACATATTCTTATAGCAATGTGCATCACTGTAATTATAAAACATGAACCATCTAAAATGGTCCCACCAATGTGTAGTCCTACTTAGAATAATCCTTTAATTGTCCCACAAGGGGAAATTTGGTTGTAACAGCAGCCACTTGCACAATCACTTCTGCGTTATACTCATCCTTGCCCCACTGTTTCCGCAGTGGTTAAACAGTGGCGATGTTCTACACCCGCTGCCTACAAGAGCTCCCAAAATTGAACAACTGCCAGAAAATTAGATAAAGGATTTACGTTATATGCTGCATCACAGATACCCAACTATGAGGGTAAGAAAACAGAAATTAACCGACAAAAAATAACGTTGGCTAACGTCAAATTTAAACATTGCGTTACTCCTCTCTGCTTTATCACACCCAATTTGACTGGTCAGATAGTTTAATCAACATGTGTTTGGGTGATCAGAAGCAAATATACATCAAGTTAATACTGCAAACATACAACATCTAAATGTCTGTGAATGACTGAGAACCTTCACAGGTGAAGGTTCTCAGTCACCCAGGTCATTGTAGTCAAAGGAGCTTTCAAAGAAAAGCGTCTGGACTTCTTTAAGTTTCTACATTTAATGAATTTTTAAAAAACATTTTACTGTTGTGTGAAATCAATGAACTCTTATTTTAGCAACGGTATAAAAAATATTAAAACACTGAATGTTTTCAGAACTTATTTACATAGTAAGTATTTCAAGCTCCATGCCTAGCATAAGTTACTTGCACTGGTGTCTTGGGACGACTCCATCTCGTCTCACTTAATCCGTTTTTGAACTATGTGTGTTCTGGTAATTTGACAGCATACATGCTACTGCAAACAGTTGGTTGATATTGTAAACAGGTGACATGGTGATGATGCCATCAAAAAGTTTGTTCTGTTTGATCCTCCTAATGACTCGCTCCACATGTAGCCCGAGTCTGACTGTGGCCTGCATCTCCTTAACCTGGTTCTTCTTCTTCTTCTGCTAGATACAAAAGGGGGCGGTACACTTGCATTTACAACCATCTGTGATCAGGAAGCCCTTATCTACCATCACTGCCATGTCTTCAGTCAACTTCTCAGCAATGCCTGATTGTTTGAATAGTTCCTTGTCACTAACCGAACCTGCGTACAGATCAGAGATGAATGTGACTGGACCATGTGGAGCTATGCCAACCAGGGCTTTCATCGTGCAGTGGGATTTGTATGAAGAGTACGTTTCACTCTGGAGAAGTGGTGAGGATGGTGTCTGACACCTCAGCTCTGTACAGTCAAGGATCACCTGGGTGTCTGAGAAACCTTTGAATTCCTTAGGGAGGTAAGCTTGCACTTCTGCACGTGTAAGCCAGATGCACTGAGACCCCAGTGCAGTGGCAAGAAAACTTGTCCATGTTGCAATGATGCTGCTCACTGTGGACTGGTGTATGTTGAATCGATGAGCCAGGTCCCTCTCCTTCAGACCAACAGACAGGAAAACCAGGAAAAGAAAGAACTCGTCGATTGGCTGGAGCAGCTGCCTCTGAAAGGTTGAAACAAAAGGGAAAATGTTACTCCTAAAGCTATGAACTAGTAAGATCATGCTTTTCTTGGCTAAATGTTTTGTAAGATAAGACAGGATAGACCCTTATTAGCCCCACACGTGGGAAATTTGTTGAGCAGAAAGTGGCAAAAATTCAGAAAAACAATAGGATAGGATAAGAATAAGACACTGTGTACAATAGCATAAAATACTTTATAGATCAGAATAAAATGTGATATTGTCAAAGTAAATGGTTGCTGGAATGGTTATGCACACCATACTGTACTGTCAGGGTTGAATTCTTTTATTTTTCTAGTAAATAAAGTTGTTTTTATTATCTTTATATACAAACTGCAAACGTCCTTATACGAGTTGTAGGACAAGTCTTAGTGGGACTTGTTAACAGTCCTACTAAGGGGCAGGTCAAATGTCAACGGCACTGCATCCATGTTTATGATCGCGTCCGGTCCGATGGAATATTCGTTTATCTTTCTTTGTGTGAATTTGCGCAAGTTTGTTATTTTCTCTGCATAGTCGGGGGGGAGTTGCTGACACACAGTCGTCCGCGCCCTGATGGACAGTCCTTTTCGTTTTTTCGTTGGTGACTATTTTGGTTTTCAGTCGGATCTGCACAGTTGAAACACCTCGCCCATTTGCTCTCTGTGTGTTCATCCAGTCTTCAATACATTTAGGCCATCTGCTCTTATTTCCTCTGAAAGCTTTTGTCGTCTTTTTGGACTGAGCCAGTTCATCACGCTGGAGTCTCCAACGTCTCACCATTGATTCGTTTATGCCAAAGGTATGTGCAGCAGCTCTACTTCCCCTCCCTGAGAGCTTTAATTTGAAAGCTGCATCATATGCATTTCTTGTGTTTACCATACTGAGGGTTTGTGAATGAAAGCTTCCTTTGCTCCTGTAATACTCCTCTTGCTAATCAAGTTTGTTTTTCGCGCTACTTCGTACGGGACTACGTTGCCTTTTGGACGGACATGTGACCAACATACCACTCTTGTCCCCCGATACTGTGTGTCTGATCACATGCCCTTCTGCCAGCCAACGTAGTGCCGTACAACAGCAGAACAAACAAAACAAATCCTCTGAAAGTCACAGAGTTCAAAGCTTGTGCAAAAAGTAGCGGCTTGTAGCCCAAAAATTATGCCACATAAACACAATGCCATCGCACCTCTAGTTCCAACTACCAACAAAGCCATAGCCTACCGTTTGTGTGCGTGCAGGTGTCAACACTTCTTCGTCCGTGTTGGCAGCTGACTTGGGTCTTGAAGCCCGGATCATCTTATAGATGCAAGGCTCAATCAAAACCCAGAATGCCATCAAATGATCATAGCTTGGAAATCTATTCACAAGAGAGACAAACATCGTGTCAATCATTAATTAACATCACTCATGAAACATACAGTCAGCAGATAAAAAGTCAATATCTATGTTGTTTTCATGAAGACTGGAAACACTTGAACTTCGATGTACCTGGTATAGAATTGGATGTCAGTGTCAGAGCCAGCAAACCGCTGTAACCCAAACTCTCGCTGGACACGTAACGCCTGTATTTCCTTCCTCAGACTCTCCACGTCTTTGGACAGGTCTTCTGCTGATGGCTCAGGGACTGAGCAGTAGTCATGATCTCCTGTAACACTGTGCTGACCTTGATCCCCAGGATGAACTAGTTCAGGGGGTTCTCGCTCCGTTCTCTCCCAAACACTACTCTGCGTTGGTTCAACTTTATAATTATTCCACTGAAAAAGTGTCGGGACAGCACCTTTAAAAAGCCTCCTTCGACCATCAAGGGTTGTTGGTCCTGCATCCTTGGCTGCTGGGTCCCTGATAAGAGAGAAAACAAAATCATGTTCATTCTTTTTTTGTTGACTTTTGTAGAAAATGGGCCATGTTTCTGGTGACAGTGGGGAAGGAAAAACTCCCTTATAACAGTCAGAATCGAGAGGGTGGGGAGGCGAGGAAGACAGAACAAAAGGCACGCTGTGGCAAGATTAATAATAACTAATGATTCAATTCAGACAGGTGTATAAACGCACAGTGGGTGAAAATGTGATTAATAAAGAGTGCATTATGTGCTAAGGGTTTAAACAGCTCCAAGAATTAGAAGAACCTACTTAAAACAGTTTTAAAGTTAAAATCATTTCTGTGTTTATTGTAGTTTTTTTTTAAAGTTTTCCCACCACCTAAAGCAGGGTTAAAGTAACACAGTTTCACTATCATGTAGCGTTAGTCTCACCTCACCCAGCCTCAATATGCTTACTTGACAGCACTCCTCGGTATTAAGTCAAACCCAGAGAAAGACTTTGATATATTCACCTTGCAGGGATGCCTTCTGCAGATAGCTTGATTTGTGCTATCCGTTGTAGCTTTGCTGTCTGTCTTCTGTTGAACACATCCAGTCTCATTTTTCTTCTTATCTTCTCTGCAGATGCCTCCTCTGCCTTTCTGCCTACAAAATAAACATTTCATTATTTCTACTTTTGAGCTTGCTAACTAAGAAAACACGACATAAAGCCCACTCTGCATGCAGCTATGTGGTTTTCCATCATCAGAAACCACAACGATAGTCTAGTAAATAATGAAAACACTTATGTTAGAAAGCTTATATAAAAGTTGCCCAATACAAAATGATGGGAACAAGCGGAATACGCCGGCTGGAAGGTCCCATCTTTCAGTCTTATTTTGCTTACTCCTCCTTCAATGGTGCTACTCAGTTTAGTTCACCTAATGCGGTAAAAGAAAGTACTTCTCTTTTTTCCTCGTCTATTTGTACAACCTGGGGCGCAACAGTTATCAACAATGGTTAGCCGCGTTCACCACGGCAGCCGGATGCTGCCAAAATAGCGACGCCTGGAGGGGGAGGGGGCGAACCTGTGTGACGTCATCTCCTGGAGCCTGAACAGAGGTCGCTGCTCCCTGCGCAGTACCACAAATACTACCAGTTTCGAAATAAGAAATCGCATCCAGTTTACTAATGGCTGAGTGCAAATGTGGCTATTTTCAAGCCGCTAAACTGTGAGTATGTCGTCATTCAAACCACGTTAAGTCAGCTGGAGTGCGTGGAGTATAATAGCCATTATAAGATAACCTTCATGTCCCACACAAATTAGTTTTGTCACAGCAGTTAGGGGACAGTGCAAAAGTTATATAACAAAAATTAGAATACAATAAGAATAAAATTCTGTACACAACTGTACAGAATAGAACAAAATAAAAATACTATATACAGTAGAATAAATAGAATAAGATATACAATAGGATGAAACAGAATACAAATTCTATGTACAACTGAGTGAAAATACAACGATGCCAGAAAGGAGTATAGCACTTAGTGTTGTTGTCCACCCTCCACCACAATTAATGTTATACATTTATCAATGAATTGCAAATATCTCGTTGTCATATTATGTGTCCATAATTGTAAAGTAGATGCAAACTACTACATTGACAATCGGGCAAGATATTACTTTAAACCCATTGTTGTCCTCCATGCACACAGGGGAAACTTTCAGCGGTTTTCACATTAAGGCCGTTTGAATCCTCAAAACTTTATGTGGCGATTGCCGGACACTAAGAGCAATTTTTTTGAATTAGGGATTGGGGTTTGGGGTGTGTTTACCTCCGACTAGTGCTCTTTGTTGTTGTCCTTGCGTTCGTCGTCTTTTTTCGGAGTTCATGTGTAGCGTTGGTACCCAGTCTGGATTTGTTTGATCCATTTCATAGGCAGGCTTCCCTACAGTGGTGCGATAGAATTGCACGTGTCTGCAAAGTCACTCAATACGATGTTTGTTCGGATTGTATAACCGAGCGCATCAACAATAAAATTATTAAGCTATAAAGAGTGATGTAAACATACTACATTTTCACTTACCGGAGTGAAAATGTCGGGAGCACACCAACAGATATTTGGAGATGGAAGAGAACTGGAGATCAAGTCGTCCCACGGCTGCTATCCAGGCTAGACGCCTTCTTTTGGTAAGGTCCGCTATATGAGCTCCCTCATGCTGCTTCCAGGTGGGGAAAGAATGAAAAGATAAACCATTTCCAAGCTTCTTCCCTTGCCGGTCGTGTGATCGAACATTACAGCCGATCACGCAGCAGTTACGAACCATGGCTGATGTGTGTGCTTTCGCTCCTCTTTCGCTTGAGCCCTGAAATATGGCGCATCAGCCCAAAAGACTTTCCACGCCCACCCCGTGACATCACGCGCCCAAGCCCTGTAAGATAGTGATGTCCTGTGTGTCGAAGCGTGTGTCAGGGGAGTTTTTGGGAAGCACGTATCGAGGCTCGCTTTGATTACGTATGCAGTGACGTTCGAGGCCTCGCGGGCAGTCCGTACCACGTGACTGATTCAGGGACTGGCTCGCCGGTTCGCGCCAGATTCGAAATAAAATGGGCAGCAAAACACAGCTGATTCCCCATCACACTGTTGTGGAATTGGACTAAGTACGTGCTACATAGTTGAGTATTTCTTCTTCGATGGAACCAGCAAGGAAGAGATTTTTTTTTAATTTAATCTCCTAATAAAGTATGCACACAGTAATAAATGTCACAAATGATAAGTACCATAATATAAATAAAACTATAGATCCTATAATCTGATTTCTGTATTTTAGTTTATTAAAAAGTGAAGCGCCACACAGTTTGTGTGATTATCCAGATGTACATAAGCATGATTACACAGTTACACAATCATACCAAAGCTCTGTCCTGATAGTTTCCACTTTCTCTTTTGTATCAGACATACTGAGACAATATTCGGGATAAATAACAATGAAAACAATTTATTCAGTTTAGAGGTTTACACATCCCATCAAAGAGCCCGTTTCACTTGAATCGTCCACTTGATGGCGCAGTAGAGCAAATGAATCATCACAATGCTTTGACCATGAGTCGACCAGTGTGATGGAAAGCTTCAGTTCATCACGAGGCTTCATCTTATGGAACGCCAGGACTGCCATAATGAATTAATTAAATACACGATCATCCTTAAAAGTTTTAGTGTGTTTGTACAGGTGGCTACAGAACTGGATCAACATCCTCCACAAGCACAGCAGCTGGAGCCAAATGATAGATTAACATAATTGGAACTACACCCAGCCCGTGTTTTGACTGAATATTACACAGCTTCACTCCATGTACACCTTACACTGAAGAACAAGCTTCGAGGGCAACCGATCTCTCCCTGAAGACAAAATGCAGTTCGAGATCAACAGCGTCAACTTCAAGACTCAACAATGTGAACACACAGCAACACTGCCCTAAAGGGTTCAGCAGCATGTACAAATACCATGGATGGATGGAAGTATGCGCTCCCAATCACAAGCTGGGAGGTTTGCCAGCGACATCACTGTGTGTGAATGGACTTGAAAAGACTGTCTGAGTTTCACATTTGCCATACTGGGAGCTGAAAAGGCAAAGGAAGAGACTGAAAAGAGTGAAAGACAAAAGGCAAAGCTGAAGAAGAACGGCCCACTGGGCCCCTCACACGCCACAACTGTGAACTGCTGCAGATTCAGGAGAGAGACAGAAGCTGTGAGAAATGGGGAGAAGAGAGCATGGAGGAAAAATGAAGTCTGTTGTTGTTAATGTGAGAACACGTGAAAATTGGGTTGGAAAACTGTGGCCGGCTGTCTTGTGGAGGTTGATAAAGAGTTCGTAGGATTGCAACAAAGGTAAAAATAAAACGCACACAAACACACATAAACAGAGAAATGTGAAGGAAAGGCAGCTTTAAGGACACGCCCTGCTGAATCTGCAGCTCCACTGCACACAGCCATTAAACCTGCCTACTAACACACACATGCAATGAAGATCAGCTTGTTATCTGTCATCAGTGTTAAAATTGTGCAAATTTCACAGACACTTGTTATCAAATGCTGAGTGTATCCACTGCTGACAAATAACCCTCTAGGTTGCAGGACAAGAGTTTAACTTTTGTGAAGGGAAAAAAAAGAGATTCTGGTTTGACCAACCAGTGATCAGACAATAAATTTAGTTGTTAATATAGTAAATTGTGAGATGCTTTCTGCATTATTGGTGCAGCACAAGTAATTTACTGTATGAAGGAAATTCTCTTTTGTGATAATATTTTGAACATGCATTTCTGTTGTCCTGTCAATTTAGTGGGTTAATAGCTGATTTGCAAATTAGTTGATTGTTACTAGATCAGGGAAGGATGACTGGATTATAAAACAAGTGAATAAGATGTAGCAGAGGGTTGAGTTTCCTGTTTCTGATGTATGGGTGAAGCTTGCACCCAGATACACACTCTGATTACACGAGAACAAACTTGTTTTGTGAAATACATGATGACATGTTACATGTTTTATGTTTGGGGAAGAAAAAAAAGGAAAGAAAAGTTAAATGAAATGATTGGGTCTGTGAAAATGAAAAATAAGTTTAAAAAAAAAAGCACAGACCTGGGGAAGAAATCCACATTCCTGTGATAAAACATTGATATGAAGTGTTTAGGAAGTTTTTAATGGTGAACATTTGTGTTGTGTGAACTCTGCAGCTGCTAATGAAAAACATTTTCTCTGTGTATTTAACAGGTGAAACTAGGTCAGTTGGCCCCAGACTTTCCAGAATTGGAAATATTCAGGAGCACTTGTGGGCAACCAGTAAATATGATGTGGGGAAAATGAACAAAGGTAGTGACACTTAAGTCTGATTTCAGACCATGTAAGCATCAGTTGTTAATTAAAGCCAGAAGCAGTGACTGCAGCAAACAACCTAAACCTAACTGGCTGATTCTGCCAGTTAGAAAAAGAAAAACAACCTAAACCTAAGAGAAAGACTGTTTTTTTTTGTTTGTTTTTATTTTTTACACTTAGACATGTCCGGGCCTAAAATCTTTTTTGTTTTTGTAACAGTGCACTTAGGGAAAAACCTGCCAGGTATCATCCCTCTGGGTGTGATATTTTGTGTGTTGATGTTAAAAGCAGGCCTGCAAGATTGGGAGCAAAAGTGCTATAAAATACTTTAATTGAAAGCAAATATAAGGTGAGCTTCTCAAGATTACAATTGGCTTCTGAGAAAATTCACCTACATAGGATGCTGACCATATTAGATGGGAAATCCTGTGTTTAAAAGGATTGTAGCGATTCAATCCATTTCAATGGCAAGAAGAATTGTTTTTGGAATGATGAAATATTGCTGTCAGTGGACATTTAAATTTGTGCGCGGTTTTCCACTATCAGCAATGATCGTTATGAATGCATGTGACTAGATGAATACATGTGATTGGTATAAATGCAAATGCAAAGGACTGTGGCTGGACTGATGATGTGGACTAGTAACACACTGTATTGTTGGAAAATGTCAAATGTTAGAAGTTGTCAGAAAACATAGCGGCCTTGAAGAGCGTGCAGAGAAGGCCAGCCCACATCAGCAGCAGTTAAGCTATGCTCTGATGAACGGCTTTCACCCACCCACTGCTGACTTCATTAGGAAACAAAATTTTAATCAAAACACAGACGGGTCCGTTGAATGCATGAATTGGGCCCGCCATGTGCTACTCCGGAGGAGACGCCCTGATGTTGCATTGGCAATGATCTAACTAACCCTTTTCTTTAAGAAAGGAGCCTAGTTCTGATGAGTTGACTCATGGGAGTGTCGATGCGTCAAGAGGAGGAATTCCAGGTTTAACATGAAACAATGTTTTCTGTGTTTTCCATGACGATTTTTTCCACGGCTTTTTACTGTGACTTGTGGGATTAACACGTTATGGACAGGTATTAAACTTCTACAGGTGATACACCCATGTTCGGATGAGTGTTTGAAAACTTATAAGTGAAGTTCACAAAACTGAAAGGAAAAATGTGGATTGATGTTGGTTGATATATTTTCCAAATGGTTAGAAGTTTTTCCTTCTAGTAGGGAGATACAGGTGCAGTGGCCAGAGTATTGCTGGAAGAAATCATCCCAAGGGTGGAATCTCCAGAGATTGAGACTGGGTGCTGATCAGAAGTATTTAGAGACCCAGCGAGAAGTAAGAAACAGTCATGGCAGAGCTGAAAGCCCAGGCAGTAGTTGAGGTCAAAGGTCGTGCGGTTTGGGGCCCTACTAGTCATTATGAGAAGGTTCCAGAACCACAGCAATAACCATAAAGCTGCATTGGAACGAGAGGGTGAGGGGTGAAAAGAGCGCCCTCCTCCAAAAAGAGCATGCCAAGCTCCAACTCAGCGACTGCAGAGCAGACTCTGTGGCACCTAAGAGGGATCATGAATGCAGATGACACCTTATTAAACAATCAGGCAGTTGTGCCGGAAGTAGTTCCGTGTGGTTTTGTGTTAAGGGGGTCGTTGGTGTGACATTTCTAATCATCTTATAACTGCATTTACATGACTCTGTGAACATCACAAACTCTGTTAGAGTCCTGAGCAGAAGTGACTGGAGTAGTTTTAGCATGCACGTTTTACAGCAACCTAACTAATAATTATTTGTGTATATTTTGTAGACTGATTTTCTAGCATGTCAGTTCCTGATGTGTAAGTGCATTAGGCCCTCACTGTCCGAGTAAACATAGTAACAACAGTTGTGAGTTCTTTTGACATGTATACTCAGCTTTGACATGTTGTTTGACACCCTAAAGTAGGATTTTGGGTTCATCACAATTCAGTGAGTGATTTTGATAGGTCTCAAACATGCTGGAAGCACCTAAAGAATGAGGTTGTTTTTCTAGAGTTAAATGTGGTTGTTTTGGTTTCCCCAATCACTGATGTGAGGACAGTAAAGATAATTGCAAATGCCTTTGAGAGGGTTTACACTGTTTAAATGGGTCTACAGTAGTAAAGAGTACAGCACAATGCATAGATAGAGAGGAAAGATCGATCTCTCTGTTGTAAATTTAGCTCAGAAGTGTTTGATATATGTTGGCTGTGTGGAAATTCATGGCTACTTCTGGGTTTTACCCCAGACTTTGGGAAGCACTAACTTTGAAGTTAGTTTATGTTTGTGGTATTCACTTAGGTACAAATATAGTTGCTGTCCTTTATGGCAAACATCTGGACAGAGCAAAGCAAATGGCACAAAGGAGTGTGTGTGATGTTTGGTGATGCATGTGTGCTTCAATTCCTAATAACACTGGGGATGAGGGTCTTTTACAGAAACCATTAATAAATTGGGAAACATGGGTTGATGGATTTAACCCGCAGAGTTGAGGGATGTCTCCTGAAGTCCACTGTCATCTCTACAGTTTTAAGAGTGTTCAGCTCCAAATTGTGCTGACTGCACCAGAGTACCAGCCGCTCAACTTCCTGCCAGTATGCAGACTCATCACTATCCTGAATGAGGCCAATGACGGTGGTGTCGTCTGCAAACTTTAGGAGTTTAACAGCCGAGGTGCAGTCGTTAGTGTAGAGGGACAACAGTAGTGGTGAGAGGACACATCCTTGAGGGGCACCAATACTGAGGGACCGGGTTTCAGAGGTGATCTCCCCCAGCCTCACTTGCTGCTTTCTATCTGTCAGGAAGCTGGTGATCCACTGACAGGTAGCTGGTGACACGCTGAGCTGGGAGCGTTTGGAGGAGAGAAGTTCAGGCACAATGGTGTTAAAAGCCGAACTAAAGTCCACAAACAGGACCCTGGCATAAGTTACCGGGCGGTCGAGGTGTTGCAGAATGTAATGCAGCCCCATGTTCACTGCATCATCCACCGACCTGTTTGCCCGGTAGGCAAACTGCAGAGGGTCCAGCTGGTGGCCTGTAATGTCCTTCAGATGGGCTAACACCAGTCGTTCGAAGGATTTCATGACCACAGACGTCAAGGCGACGGGTCTGTAGTCATTCAGTCCTGTGATGGTGGGTTTCTTGGGAATAGGGATGATGGTTGAGCGTTTGAAGCAGGAGGGAACTTCACACAGCTCCAGAGATCTGTTGAAGATGCAAGAAAAGATGGGAGCCAGCAGTTCAGCGCAGGTTTTGAGGCAGGAGGGTGAAACACCATCTGGTCCGGGGGCTTTCCTGGGCTTCTGTTTCTGAAATAGTCGGCTCACATCCTCAGTGTGTATTCTGAGTTTCAGGGAGGAGGAAAGGGGGGTGAGAGGTGTGATGGAGGTTGTTGAGTCTGGATTGGAGAGGGTGGTGGTGGTCGTTGAGACTCGAATGGGGAGGGTGGTGGTGGTCGTTGAGACTGGATTGGAGAGGGTGAGGGTGAAGGGGGGAGAGGTGGAAGATGTGTTGGGGGTCAATGTCTGAAGCGGCCATCTGCTCTGGTCGCAGCAGATGGCCGCCCCTCCCTGAGCCTGGTTCTGCCGGAGGTTTCTTCCCGTTAAAAGGGAGTTTTTCCTTCCCACTGTTGCCAAAGTGCTTGCTCACAGGGGGTCATATGATTGTTGGGTTTTTCTCTGTATCTATGAAGCGCCTTGAGGCGACTTATGTTGTGATTTGGCGCTATATAAATAAAATTGAATTGAATTGAATTGGGGAAGGGAGGGTGAGGCGGGGAGTCTGTCCGTCTCAAACCTGCAGTAAAACACGTACCATGGTCACGCAGTCTATTCTTGAAAATATTTTGTGCATCTTCATTTTTATTTTCGGTTCCACATGTGGCAAAAGTTTTGTGTTGCCTTAACTTACACCCTGTAAATTTAATAATCTATACTTCAAACGTGGGGATGGAGACTACTTTTTGTTTTTATTTGCTGACATAACCAACTGTTTAAAAAATAAACCTCTGACATGTTTAAACATATGAAGAATGGGATGTAGTATCCTCTAACTACTTGGTTAAAATAGTGTTAGAGAAATAAACATATTCTTATAGCAATGTGCATCACTGTAATTATAAAACATGAACCATCTAAAATGGTCCCACCAATGTGTAGTCCTACTTAGAATAATCCTTTAATTGTCCCACAAGGGGAAATTTGGTTGTTACAGCAGCCACTTGCACAATCACTTCTGCGTTATACTCATCCCTGCCCCACTGTTTCCGCAGTGGTTAAACAGTGGCGATGTTCTACACCCGCTGCCTACAAGAGCTCCCAAAATTGAACAACTGCCAGAAAATTAGATAAAGGATTTACGTTATATGCTGCATCACAGATACCCAACTATGAGGGTAAGAAAACAGAAATTAACCGACAAAAAATAACGTTGGCTAACGTCAAATTTAAACATTGCGTTACTCCTCTCTGCTTTATCACACCTAATTTGACTGGTCAGATAGTTTAATCAACATGTGTTTGGGTGATCAGAAGCAAATATACATCAAGTTAATACTGCAAACATACAACATCTAAATGTCTGTGAATGACTGAGAACCGTTCTCAGTCACCCAGGTCATTGTAGTCAAAGGAGCTTTCAAAGAAAAGCGTCTGGACTTCTTTAAGTTTCTACATTTAATGAATTTTTAAAAAACATTTTACTGTTGTGTGAAATCAATAAACTCTTATTTTAGCAAAAATATCAAAAACATTTTACACATTGAATGTTTGCAGAACTTATTTACATAGTAAGTATTTAAAGCTCCATGCCTAGCATAAGTTACTTGCACTGGTGTCTTGGGACAACTCCATCTCGTCTCACTTAATCCGTTTTTTAACTAATGCTGTGTTCTGGTAATTTGACAGCATACATGCTACTGCAAACAGTTGGTTGATATTGTAAACAGGTGACATGGTGATGATGCCATCAAAAAGTTTGTTCTGTTTGATCCTCCTAATGACTCGCTCCACATGTAGCCCGAGTCTGACTGTGGCCTGCGTCTCCTTAACCTGGTTCTTCTTCTGCTTAGATACAAAAGGGGGGCGGTACACTTTGCATTTACAACCATCTGTGATCAGGAAGCCCTTATCTACCATCACTGCCATGTCTTCAGTCAACTTCTCAGCAATGCCTGATTGTTTGAATAGTTCCTTGTCAGTAACCGAACCTGCGTACAGATCAGAGATGAATGTGACTGGACCATGTGGAGCTATGCCAACCAGGGCTTTCATCGTGCAGTGGGATTTGTATGAAGAGTACGTTTCACTCTGGAGAAGTGGTGAGGATGGTGTCTGACACCTCAGCTCTGTACAGTCAAGGATCACCTGGGTGTCTGAGAAACCTTTGAATTCCTTAGGGAGGTAAGCTTGCACTTCTGCACGTGTAAGCCAGATGCACTGAGACCCCAGTGCAGTGGCAAGAAAACTTGTCCATGTTGCAATGATGCTGCTCACTGTGGACTGGTGTATGTTGAATCGATGAGCCAGGTCCCTCTCCTTCAGACCAACAGACAGGAAAACCAGGAAAAGAAAGAACTCGTTGATTGGCTGGAGCAGCTGCCTCTGAAAGGTTAAAACAAAAGGGAAAAGGTTAATCCTTAATCTATGAACTAGTACGATCATGCTTTTCTTGGCTAAATGTTTTGTAAGATAAGACAGGATAGACCCTTATTAGCCCCACACGTGGGAAATTTGTTGAGTTACAGCAGAAAGTGGCAAAAATTCAGAAAAACAATGAGATAGGATAAGAATAATAATATAATAAGAATAAGACACTGTGTACAATAGAATAAAATGCTACGCTGTCAATGTAATTGGTTGTTGTAATGGTTATGCATATCATATCGTACATTTTTAATTTTTCTACAAAATAGTTGTTTTTATTATCTTTATATACATACTGCAAATGTGTTCATATGAGTTGGCACTCCATCTCTTGAAGGTCAAAAGCTAAGTTCAACGTGACTGTCTGGACTGATTATTGTAGGAATGATGTAGAGTGCAGAGGGTTGCTTGCAACACGCTCACACACACATGATTACAGGGATATTCTCTGGTTCAGAGGGCCAAATAATATGTCTGCAAGTAGCAGTGGGACAGAATTAAATAATCAAGAAATAATCAAAACTAGGCGGGGAGGTGTTTTTCTTTTCTCTCTTACAGAGGAGAGAGCAGATACCAGAGGAGGTCACAAATGTACAAGGAAGATTCGCAGGGAGACAGCAGGACTGCCATCTCTGTGTGAGAGCACGATAGCCATGACAATCTTTGTTATTGTCTCACTATATAAAGTTGTGGAGGGTTATCCTTTTTGTGAACCAGATGCTTGATCTCACATAGAGGTCCACAGCGCTGTGTAAACTTGTAATTTGAATTGCTAACACAAATTAAATCTTTTTAAATGACAGAACGTTCTCCTGAAATTCCTTCTGAACACACACACAACAGTACCATGGAGTATGGAGCCCTGCAAGGAACATAGGGGGGAAAAAAAATTAAGATTAACTTTTGCAAGATCTCACAAAAGTAACTCGGGATCTCTCAAAAGTAGGTAGCATTTGAAGGCCAAGTTGGCGTATCCTTCGTGACCCAACCTATCCGAGAACTCATACCAGCCAATCAGTTTCCAACAATGGCAGCAGCTACTTAGTTTTAATATGACTCTTTCTGGGTCACAAAATAAACTTTTAAGATATTTTCAGACGTGAATGTAGCTGTGTAAACTTCAAGTATCTGCTCAGTTTATCAAGACATCACATATTTGCAAAAGTGGTAATTTTTTTGTTTTTGAAGATGTCTGTTACCCACCAGCTGAAAGCTAACAGCAGGTCGAGGCCCACTACAGCCGGGGGGAACACCGCACTCCAGGCACATCATGCCTCGACCTCCCGGAGGATGCTGCCAAAACATTTGCCAGATCTCGCAAAAGTTCATCTTTATTTTTTTTTCTCCCATGTCATGAACACAACAGAACGATGGGGAAAACAGGTTCTGTAGTACACAGATTTAAGTATGCAAAGGATGCTGAGCCCTTTAGGATCTACATAAACACAATGCCATCGCACCTCTAGTTCCAACTACCAACAAAGCCATAGCCTACCGTTTGTGTGCGTGCAGGTGTCAACACTTCTTCGTCCGTGTTGGCAGCTGACTTGGCTCTTGAAGCCCGGATCATCTTATAGATGCAAGGCTCAATCAAAACCCAGAATGCCATCAAATGATCATAGCTTGGAAATCTATTCACAAGAGAGACAAACATCGTGTCAATCATTAATTAACATCACTCATGAAACATACAGTCAGCAGATAAAAAGTAAATATCTATGTTGTTTTCATGAAGACTGGAAACACTTGAACTTCGATGTACCTGGTATAGAATTGGATGTCACTGTCAGAGCCAGCAAACCGCTGTAACCCAAACTTTTGCTGGACACGTAACTCCTGTATTTCCTTCCTCAGACTCTCCACGTCTTTGGACAGGTCTTCTGCTGATGGCTCAGGGACTGAGCAGTAGTCATGATCTCTTGTAACGCTGTGCTGTTGAGAGATATTTTCAGGCAAGAATGTAGCTATATGAACTTCAAATAGCTGCTTGATTTATCAAGATGTCACATATTTGCAAAAGTACTCCGTTTTCTGAGACATCTGTTACCCACCAGCAATAGCTGACCGGGAGGTCAAGGATCACTACAGCTGGTGAGATGAGTGAAATCCCAGCATATCATTTTTAAACCACCCGTGGTCTTTTGCTACTCAGGTTAAACATGATATTTAAGTCTCTTAGGCAACTTCTAAATTTTAATGTTGGGTTTAATTTAGTGTTTTATTTGTTCCTGAGTCAGTTTGGCTGAGATTAAAGTTCAGCTTCATAACTGGACAGTTTTATTTAACACTGAAATCTTACTTAGAGAGCTGTGATTGTATTTTGAACTACACCCGTCATATCCCCTGATGTAAAATGTTCTGTTTTTGTTTAAACAGCTGACTCTGAATTAAATACACTAAAAACTCAAGAGGAATCATTTTCACTGGGAGCAAAAGCAGCATGCTAATGCATGGAGATCCTGACTGCTCCAGTCAGCAGATTATATTTTAAATACTTGATTATATTTTGATTATATTATAAATACTTATATTTATAGGCTTACTACAGAGGAGCTGTCGGTTATATTAATGGCAGTCGCGTTCTGGCGGATGGTTGAAAAGTGTTCACTCTTACTTGTTCTCTGAACTCTACATAAAGAGGGACGTTTGACAGTTTTGAATGTGATGGGAGGTGCCAGCACCGCTGTTCTTTCACCTTTTTCTAAACAGGAAAGTAAACTAACTTTTTCTCTTTTTTCTATTCAAGTTTGATATTCTTAATATTTTGAACTCTATTTTTGTTTATTTTTAATGCTACGCACATGTTTATCCTTTGTGTCGTTGAATGTTAAAGGTCTCAGGGATAACGTTAAAAGAAAAGCAATGTTTATGTTTATCAAAGGGCTAAAAGCTAATTGCACCTTACTACAAGAAACTCATTCAAGTGACGCTGATGCCACCTTCTGGTCAAATGAGTGGGGTGAAAAATCCTCTTCGGCCACTGATCCAACCACTCTGCTGGAGTAGCTCTCTGTTTCTACCAATGTCCAGGGAAGGTCGTGACTTTTCAGGCTGATGATTCAGGACACTGGCTGGTAGTTTTATTGAATATTGATGGTTCATTTGTGATTCTAGTAAATGTTTATGTCTAGATCTGTGGTTGGGCTCGATATGTTTCACATGTTTCACATGTTTCTATCTCAGCAGCCCCGTTGACAGATCACAGTATTATTATTCTTAAACACCAATTTAAAGGAAAGGCATGCAATAATAAATTTTTAAGGACAATTTTCCCTTCGCAACTAAAAAGAAAAAAATGGTTAGAGACTATTATTTGAAGTTTTTGACTAAATATCTTTCTTTTTCAAGTCCACCTAAAGCAAAAGAAAATCATTTTAAAATTATAAATGCCATATATCTGTCCAATGACTATCTTCACAAGAAATTAAATATAGATACGAACGCATGCACTTTCTGTAATACTGATATTGAAACTACTGCATCTTTTTTTTATTCATGTGAAAGTTCCAGATCTTTTTGGGATGATTTTCTGTACTGGTTAACCTCTAAAAACATTGACTGCCCTTCTCTAACCTTTCAAGTAATTAGATTTGGATTACAAACCGAAAAAAAACCCCCAAAACTTATTTATAGTAGCAAAATTTTTCATTCACAAATGTCGCTTCTTGAAAATTACTCCGATTTTTGTTGGCTTTAAAAATGAAGTCCTGCTGTGGAAGGCTTCATTGGACAAGTGTAACTTAAAGCTCACACCTTACTTGAATTTTTGATGCAGCTTTTCAATTGATGTAGCTAGATTTCTATGTGCCTACTTTTGTATGATAGGTCACCTTACTGTACTTTTATGCTGCTTTATGGTATTTCTGTCCTATAATATTCTTTAAATGTTCTTTGTTTGACGACTGCTTTGTTCTTAACCACTTATAACTGTATATAACTTTTTGTTGACATGTAAAATAAGCGCTGTATTGTTATTTTTTGACAATAAAGGGAAAAATTGTACTGCTACATCGGACTTATCTCAGTCTGGGTTGATGCATCAGTTTCACTTGAAGAACACTGAACACTCACGGATACTTTAGTAGCTTCAGCTGCTTCATTGCTTGTCTCCTCCATAACTGACACGGTGTCTGATTGGTCACCATCATCCACGAACATGTTGGCTACTGTAGAAGCGGGTTGTTGTTTACAACCATCCCGGAAACTGTTTAGCATCTCTGGTCTTAGGCGTTTCTTAGCGCGGTTTTTACTCGCTTTTCCCAGACCCGTGGTCTCCTCATAGCGAAAAATTGTCGGGACTGCATTTGATTTTAGTCTTCGCTTATAACCAGAAGCACCTGTGAGCTCTTTTATCAACCGTGGTCGACTAAATGCCTCAAACGCATCAGGGCTAAAGTGGCTAGAGCACAGCCGCGGGTCTTTGGGGAGTTGTACTCGACCGCAAACATCTTCCCATTGCTTTCTTCTTGTTTTCTCATGAGGAAAGCTGTGCAGACTTACATCTGTTCCTTTGTTGAGCTTCGACTGGAAATTACAACCGAAAGCTACACAATGCGGCATAGTAGTTCCTCTCCTGCAACAACAGGTTAGCTGAACGAAAGCGCCTGCCCACAACCAATATACATCATCGTCCCAGAATGCATTGCGTGAACAAAAACATGGCCGCTCCCAAGGCTTCAAAATAGTTTTAAACAACAAAGATTTAATGGATAACGAAAACATTTTAGTTATTTTCAACAATGTTTATGTAGTGGAGATAATTTGTAACATATTTAGAGTAACTTTACATAATAGTCGGGATTCCTTTTAAGAACAAAGAAGGAAAAACTGTGAAAGAAATCCTGTTTCTGACCAGAGCTTTCCTCCTGACGCTCAGACGACCACATTTTATTCATACCTGATTTCACTTCAAGCTTCTCTTTCTTTTGATTTATGTAACACAGTACACACAGAGGCCAGCCAAGTGAAATTAACAGTGTGTTGTGACCACATGGGGTAATTGGGATTATTTCTATTTTTTGTATTATGTTTAGTTGTTGTGCCTGTGGTTTTCCCTTTAGTTTTTAAAATGGTTTTCTCAGTGTCTCTATAGGCTCGGCTGTCTCTCATTTGGGGAGTTTGTTGAGTTATGATATGATTTTGCTAAGCATTATTTTTGAAGGAGTTCTGTTTAGCTGACCTCTTTTATGGGTCCACTTATTTCTTAAAATAGCTTATTTTTCGGTGATTGTGTATATTGACATTATTTTTGTCATTTTGGGGGTATTGCAAAAGCCACATTTTATAAATTACACCCGTACCTGTGCATCCTTGGCTTCAGGGTCCCTGAAAAGTAAGAAAAAAAAGTAAGAAAAAACAAAACAAAATCCCATGTCACATTAATCTTTTGTTCTTTTTGTGACTGGACATTCAAAGGTGTCTCACATAACAAGAAAAATAACAATGATAAAACTTTCAGATACTTCACCTTGTTTTCTTAACAAGTTGAATGTTTTAAGTCATGTTAATTTATAAATTTGTTAGTTTCAACAAATCTCTAATATTAACCTCACTTTAACCTTTAACGGCTCTAATAGACTGTGTGTGCGCCTTGGCATTTGCTACTTCCAGTGGGGAAACTCCCGTAGAGCACTTCGTTTCCGGTGTGATATTCGTGCCTTGTTTATGGTCAAACTTTCCAAAACAAGTTAACCCAATGGATGAATCATGCGGCGATTTACATATCTCGGCCCCCTAGACACAGTCTGTTTGACCTGCTCCCCTCAGGCAGGAGGCTCCGGTCCATTCGCACCAGAACCTCTCGCCATAACAACAGTTTCTTCCCCTCTGCTGTTGGACACATGAACAATAACCTTATGACTGTTCCCACCACTAACACATGACCCTACGCTGTGATCACTGCATCATTCCATGTTTGGCACTGATCACCACCTGCACTCATGTGTATATATCATGTATATATCTATCTACGTAGCACTTTTAATTCTTATTCTTACTTTTATTTTTTTCATGTCTATTTAAGCGCAATTTATGACAGTATGTTTGCACTGAAGCACCGCAGCAATTTCCTAATGTTGTAAACCTGCTCAACATTTGGCAATAAAACCCTTTCTGATTCTGATTTACATATCTCGAGATGTCTTGGGCATTTACCATTTATTTATCTGTAGATGATGTTCATCGACTTGAACTCGATTATTCTACACCAAGAGCAGAACAATTAAAACCATATATTGGTTTTGTGAAATGTTTAAATAAAGGTTCATTTAATACATTTTCATGCATCTGGACCACAGTAGAACAGATCTCATACTACGGTCCAATTTTGCTTTATTAGCCGTTCTTGCAACTTTAAACTTTGTGGGGGGTTTTCAGTTGTTCTCACTTCCAGCTACTTTACATCTGACCTGCATCCTGTGTAGATACCTTCATAGAGAGGACATTAAGTTAAACTCCTCTGAGATATTAAATTACACATTGTGCGACAGTAGGGGGCCCTGCATTGTTTAGCGTTTTTTTGTTTTTGTTTTTTTTGCATTAATGCAATTAATTAAATCTATGAATGAGATCCTTGGAAATTGGTCATAAAACTTGTGCAGAAAGCAAAGAAACACAAGATTAATCCAGGTTAAAAAAGCAGTACAGAGAGGGGGGAAAGCAGTGGCCAGGATTATAAGAGAATATGCATTTGCTGTTTTGGTCAGTATTTTAATATATAGTCAAAGTTAGCAGCCCTTTTGCTTTATATTATCTGCTCTTGATGGATTTAAGCTGTATTCCCTGGACCAGAGATCTGAGTAGACTTCAATCAACAGCTGACGGTTTGTGTTATTGTTGATAGTTAATATCGTCAACTAATAGGGTTCATTTGCTTCAATAAAGTGTATTTCATGTAATCAAATGCTTTTCGTCTGCTTTAAGGTGATCAGAATTTGACATTTGAGATGCTGTATCATTTAAAGAAAGTTCGAAGAAAGTGCTGAAATCTGTCTTTATTGAAGTTTCACAAATCACAGAAAGTTTTCATAAAATCGTTGTTTTGTTCTGCTATCAGTGTGGAATAATCAAGTACAGGTTTGAAATGTCAGGGTTGTGTAGTTTTTGCTCTGCAGCAGATCAAACATGCTTTATCAGTTTCCCTAATCGGAAGTTACAAAGGCAAACCAACTTCAGCCTCGTATTAAAATGCACATTTGTGTGGTAATGTTATAAAGCTGTTGTGAAATCTGTTTATGTTGTCCTAGTAAGGCTACCATGAGGGCAGCCACTAGAGGTCGCTAGAAGACCGTGTGTATATGTGTTTTCCAGAAATTGATGTAGCCACGTACACTGCTGCTACAATTCAATTAAAAAGCGGTTCGTGCTTGAGAACACTGTGTCTTATTGCCTCCGAACATGACAAAAGCCATGGGTCACTAGTTGAAAACTTGAGGATTTCTTACCTTGTATAGTCCCGACTGTCATCAGCTGATGTGGCAAATCGCTGCAGTCCCTGAGTCGACTGATAAGACCCGAGCTGCAGCCTGAGCTCGTCGAGCTCCCCTGATATGGTTTCATATTTAACGCGATGCTCCAAAACTCCAGGTCGCTCTGTCTTTTTCGAAAAGTTATTCCAGTGGAATAACGACGGGACAACTTTGGGCTGAAGACAGCGCTTCCCAGAGGAAGACACGAAGATGTCTCCAGTCTCGAAATGCCGACTACACACTCTAGAGCTGGTGGTAACAATGAAGCCGTGCCTTCTGATTTTCATCAGCCATTGTGCGCGCAATTCAGGATCCTTGGGAAAGCAGTGGAAACTTAACATCTTGTTGAACCTCCCCCCAGCAGTGCACAGCGGGACACAGCAGTGGTGGGTGTTCCCGCCTTCTGCTCTTTGTAGCTTAACGCGATCTTTCCGTTTTCGTATTTTGGACATGATTTTGGTGTCTATCTTCTTCGCAGTAGCGGCAGATCGCAATATAAAGCTGCCGGAAATGTACAACTCTACATCCGGTCTTAAAACAGGAAGTTAGCGTTTTCTCGTTCACAGGGTCATTTCCTTTCCTCACCGATCTCCCTGCACCGAGCAGCAGCAGGAAAAAAACAAACCCTGCACAGTCCTACAAAGCTAGCTTTAGTTCTTCGTTGTATTTCAGGTTTACTGGAGGCATTTTAATCGACCAAAGCGAGCGCGTGGAACACCTGGGTCCCTCCACGGACGGCGGGAGATTAATGGAGAGGTACGTTTACACTGTTTGTCGAGATCAGCGCGGAAGCTTCCAAGAAAACATGAATCCGTGACATCTGGTTAAAAAACGGAATTGTAGACTGGCCGATGGTTTCCACACAGCCTACAGCAGATCTACTGCTCTAAAGAAAACAATCTCCCTTTGGTTGTGGTCACTAAATGGCCAAAGGCAAACAGGCGACCACGTGTCGTGTTCTCCACATACACAGAATATTATTATGAGCCTCTTTTCTTTTTCTTCACACATAAATCTTCCTGTCGCCTGGAGATCTTTTCCTAAAAGTCTTTGAGGTTTCAGAGCTGAGACGTGAAGCTGTTGTTCCTGTTCTGGTGAGAACAGGTGGGTGTGTTCTGCCAGTCAGTTTGAGGTGGGAGGAGGGGGATCATCCTCCCTACCCTTTTTATGTGAGTACCCAGAGAGCTGGTAGCTTAAATGACTTGGATGTTAACAGAGAGCGTCTGTCCTGATAGCCGGTGTCTTCGGACTTTGGATTTATATTTTCATTGTGCCATCTACACATAGACAGCCCGACTATGTTGCAGTTGTGTTGTAGTACAGTCCTCTGCATGCTGCTGCTGGTCTGTGCATATGAAGGTAAGCTGTGTAGCTGCATGCTTGTTGTAATGTATGGAGTAGTTTGGGTGCATTTCTCTAAGGGATGGTCATGTGTCATATGTGCTTAGATTTGAGTGATATGGGAACAAATTCCAGATGTTATAGTTTCAGATTTCATATCCATTAAAAATTTAATTGACTTCTAGACCAGGCATAAAGACAATATGAGCCCTCAGTGAGAATTTCAGGCAAGAAAAAGTAAATAAAGTTCAAGTTTCCTTAAATGGGACTGTGCTGTTTATCAAAACTTCTGTCAGCTTATTATTATTAAGTAGTTAAAAACATTGGCACAATTTCTGGAGATTCTGGCTATGAAACAAAAAGAACAGTGCTGATGTGAACTCGAGGAAACCTCCCCCCTTTTCCCCAGAGAGAGAGAGGAGAGGAGAAACAAAGAACTGCTGCTCTGCTGCAAATACAGCAGCCACACAGAACTTAGGGGGGTATGACTGTTCAACAGGAAGGGACACAAACACAAAACTGTAGCCTGACAAATTTGACCACAGAGCAAAAAAAACCCCAAAACACTGTCTCGCAACACAATCACTGTTGAGAATTTTTTTCACTGTGCTGTGATAATAACTACTGTGAATCTGGAATTTTAAATATTATAAATATATATTTACACCATGTGTGTTCAAGTTTTGACACACTCAGAGTGAAACAGATCATCTGTTAGCTCATCCTGCACATGCACTCTTACAACCTGTTGAAGACAAACTTTATTGATAAAGTT